AAAAAAAAAGAACAAAAAACATAAAACAAAAAAAAATTTCACAAGTTCCTCTGTTGTACAAGAAGTTCTTATGGAAAGTGCTTTACAACAAAGAAATATGTTCTCCATGAGATTCAAAACGAGACTATTGTATTTCACATAATATTTATACTTGAAAAAAGTACAATATTAATACAGGCTTGTCAGTTTCAAATAAACAGCAGTTAGCGCTACAGATTTCTCTCTCCGTCTTAATTTAAACCAACGTACAAATGATGAAAAGTAGTAGTGGTCCAATATTCACCGCTATTTTAACATGAGCTTGTTTTTTTTCTCCTAACAAAAATCAAAGTAAAGAAAATTCATTTTTTAATATACTGGATATAGAAATGAAACAAAACCACGTGTTCCACAATCACTATTCACAAATAAAGTTAAAAAAAAAAGTCACGTAATACTGTTAAATAAAGTACAAGTTTCTCTTCTGAACAGAAGTGGCAAGACCCTGAATGCAGGGAGATTAAAAGAAAAGCAACTCATTCAGGATACACCGATTGGAGATCAACATGACCGGTTTTTGGGGAGGGTTTACAGTGTTTTTATGTACTAAGCTCATATAGGTAAGTGCTGCTGCCAGCAGGAAATATATCTTTCATTGCCGGCACCAGCTCTAATACAGTTTTGCAAAATTGTGAAGATTAAATAACAAAACAATGAGAAACAGAAGCCATTTGTGGTTGTGCTTTTTTGGTCAAACTTTTTTTTTTCCTGGCAAATATTTACAAGCGGAGAAAAGATGCAGCACTAGTATAGCTGAGCTGGGCTGGCTGCTCTACCTGCTTTGGTTGTCAAATACATTTTATTTTTTTAAGCAGCATTGTGATGATATGTTAATAAGAGACAAAGTTTTTCCAGTCCCAAATTATGTCTTCCACAAGAGCACTCTGTTACCCATACACTTAAGTGGGGACAGGATCTCTCTATATCTTCATAACGCTGCACTGCTCTGACCTATTTAACACGGCAGAGAGCAGAAAACAGGAAGATAGGTTATATCGTGAACTTCATTGAAGTTTTATTCTTTAGGTTATTTTTGTTTGACTCAGCAATTCTCAAAGCAACTAAACACAGCTGATGACTTCCTTTGGAAGTCACATTTTCTTCATCTGAAAAGGAGGAAGTCCTCACAAATCTGGTATTTCACATTAAAATGGATGCTGGTGGATTCATATCACTCCCTAATTTCAGATCTTGGGAACCGCAGCAGTGTCATTTCTTCACATGAGTTCCATGCTCCACCCACGCACCGTAGGCATCACAAGGGTGTTTCACAATCACTACCATAAACTTTAATGCATTCTGTCACAGAATGCAGGAAGAGTGCAAAACTCTCAATGTCATCATTCTAAAATGGAAATGCAGGATATTGACAGACTTGCTTTCAAAAGGTTTACATTTTTATATCTTTTATACAAATGTATGTGGCTGTTACCTATAAGTGATATTACTTTAAAGACTGTGAGCAACTACAAATGTACCAAGGCAAACTTGAGAGGTATGTGCACACATTCATTTTCTGCCTACTCCCCCAATGCTGTTCCTATAGCGACATCAGCTCCTGTAAAATGATTTAATTAAAGAGTAATCCACAATTTCTATGGTACTTCCCATCAGCAAATACAAGATAAACAGGGTTATCCAATAATGAAGGAGAAAAGCAGCAGACAGAGTGCAGTCAATGACTAAGTGCATATACCTTTCTTTTAGCTAGGGATGCACCGATACCAGTGCCAATACTTGGCATTTTCATGAGAATCTACCAGGGTTGCAGCTGAGACCTGGCTCTGGCGCTCCACCACTGTCCTGAAATCATTAGTCTGTATTGTTTTAGAAAGACTGTCACATGACACTAAACAAAAATGTATCAGTACTTGTATCTGTAAGTACTTGGGCAAGTACAAGTACTAGTACGTGTACTCGCAAAACTGGTATCAGTGCATCCCATAAAACACATTTGGGGTGATAAAGAATGGCAAACAATACTATGCAGCAACTGACAGCATCCAATCAGACATGCTTTTTTCATAAATCTGAATGGTTGCTGAGAATTTGTATTGGATTTGCACTGTGCTTTTATAGCTTGCATAGCTGCCCATGCTTTTATTATTTTACTGGAATTACAAATCAGATACTACAATCTCCTTAAAGCCACCTATACATCTTGCTATCAAATTGTACAATCTACTTTAAGCTGGCCATACACCTTACAATTATCTGCAGATTTTCTGTGGTCCGATGGAAAAGGTGCAACAGATTCCTCCATCTACGCTAAACTGTGTGGATGGAGTAATCTCCACCTGGGCCAATCTGTTGCACTTTTTCCATCTGACCACAGAAAATCTGCAGATAATTGTAAGGTGTATGGGCACCTTTAGACCTACCAACCATTATGTAGTACAAGAGCTTGCCTGACTGCAACCAAACTGATTTATACAGGGCTTGTATTACACAGCTTTGGCAGATCTAAAGGAGACTAAATAAAGATTGTTCAATTAGATTTCAACTGGTGTGTGCACAGCTTTAGACTTAACTATATAGGGCCTACCAGATTGAGTATACATTGAGTGGATTGTTAAGATACGCCCTTGCATTACATAGCTGTTTGCAAATCTAAAAAGACAGCCACATAGTTTTGACACATTTAGAGCAGATTGTACAGTCAGATAGTTGTGTGTAATGCAGTGGCCCATCAAAACAATCTAATGAGTAGGCTTTCTCACTATATACTGGTTGGTAAATCTAAAAGAGAAGTCTCTGGCCATCTCTAGTCTGGCCATCATAAAGGGGATTGTTACTGCCTGCAACCAATCGACTTTCCTTTCTTAGACCTCATTCAAACGAGTAATGGCTGGCACGTACAGTTCCGTGCCAGGCCACAACCAGGAAGGACAGGTGCTGCGTGTGATTTGCACACAGCAGCCTGTTGTTCTCTATGGGAGTAGACAGTCCTACGCTCACCTGAACTGCACGTCTGTGCGGGTGTCCGTACTCGTACACTGACGGGATGGATCCTGTCTGCGTCCGAGCAGGAACACCCGCACGGACATGCAGTTTGGGTGAGGGTACGCCGGCGTATGGCCGCATACTCCCATAGAGAAGAACAGGCTGCTGCGTACAATCACACGCAGTACCTGTCCTTCCCCGGGAGCGGCCTGTTACTGTCGTATCAGGCCGGGTGTTAGTCGTGTGAATGAGGGCTTACTCTCTGCTAAACATATAAATGGTAAAATTTAATTGGTATGGGCAACAAGAATCCTACCTCAATTTTTTTTAAATGGAGGCCATAAGTTGCTTCATCAGTACTCCCCCCCCCCCCCCAAATATTTGCAGCAAAACACAAATCTAAAAAAGCAACACATATGAGGATCAAATTATTTGCACAATTCTTGAGATGAGCATCGTTCAGTAATTTCATGAAGTGGGACATAAATGTTAGAATGTGATGCCAATAACATAATACTGTTACCGATATGGACATATGGAAATCTATTAACTGCTTTCTGCCACCAAACTGGCAGCTTGGGTACACTGCTGGGCTTGAGTCACCCTAAACGTTTATTAGTCTTTCAATAGAGTAAATGATCAACTACCCGCTGAGTGATTTTCACATATCACCTATGACGGCCAGGTTCAGTTTGCCTCTAAAGCAATAGTCTCAAAGTACCGGCCTGCAGGCCAGTTGCGGCCCGCTAGCCGGTACTATGTGGCCCGCAGCCAACTCACAAGTCGCGTACGCGGTTACAGGCCGTCGCGTACCCGACTTGAGGAAGCGGCTCCACGGTCTATGTCGAATGCAGACCGCAGAGCTGCTTCTGTGTCGGCACTCGGTAATCGATTGGCAAGGTCTGCTGCAGACCTCACTAATACAATCCAGAGTGTTTGTGCAGTATGTGCAGGGGGGTGTATTATTTTATATGTAGAGGGGTAGTATAGTTTTATGTGTATGGAGGGGATGTATTATTTTATTTGTGCAGGGGTAGTATCTTTTTATGTGTATGGTGGGGGGTGTATTATTTTATTTGTGCAGGGGTAGTATATTTTTATGTGTATGGTGGTGGTGGGGTGTAGGTGCAATTAGGTATTCCTTGCATTGCATTTTCCTGCAGTAGGAAACCCTAATCTGACGTTTACAAGCGGCAGCTGTCACCCATTCAAGTTAATGATCAGGTGACAGTCTGAATGTAAATGCCTGTAATGGTATGTGATATTACTACATGTGGTTAGAAAACACTCTCCCTGGATGCACAATCGATGCGTCCGGGGATAGTAATTGATTCCTAACCAAATGACTTCATATCACAAACCATTACATGCGGTGTGCAGGCGTTTACATGCAGCTGCTGTCACCTGATCATGAACAGGTGACAGCTGCGACTTGTAAACACCAGATTAGTGATAACTGCTGCAGGAAAGTGCAAGTTCCTAACGCAGGAATCCCTAATCGCACCTGAACCTACAGATATGAATGGGGCCTTATTGTGTGTGTATTGGGGTCCGTAGTACCAAACAGGATACAGTTTAATTTTATTTTAAAGTATGAAATTTGGCAAGTGGCCCCATGGGAGAAAAACATTTGTGGAGTGGCCCCCGAGTTGAGTTTGAGACCCCTGCTCTAGAGAGAACATTGTCTATATATTGATACAAAGCATCCACTCTGGGATGTGCATTCTCTCCTCACAGTCAAGTTTTGTCTGCCTAGACAGGATGGGGGAAATGTCACTGCCAAAAGCACAAACAATTAAAAGGCAAACCTCCCCTTTCTCCACTCGGGAACAAAAAACATTTCTTGAGTGGAGCACTTTTTTTTTACTTTTAAGCCTCATTAGTAGCACTATTGTAAGCATTTTCTAAGAGAATATAAACTCCTAAAAGGTGGTTTCTTTGTAATTGCTAAAAATATCCTGCATTTTGGACACATTAACACTTTATACCTGATTTACTATCACCCTGGTAATCTCTTGCCATGAAAAAATAAAAAGGTCACCATGATCTTGGTCACGTGGTTACCAAATAAGCTTACTCAATCTTTTCAGGAATTATTTACGCCAACTGAAATTATCAAACATGGTCCGTTTAACTGAAGGCAGAGCAATGGAAAAAATAACTTGAATGGAAACAGAATTTAATATAAAACTTAAAAGGGAAAACATAAAACAAATGTTGGGAATAAAATTATTTAAAAAAAAAAATAATAATAATGATGCATTCACAGATTATCAAGCCACTGCAACTTCTTCAGGCATTCAACTGTTTGTTATGGTAAATATTCCGACAGTAGTCATTTAGCAGCAACGTTTCGGCAATAAATAACGCATTGTGTCTCAGTCCTGCACAAGAATTGCAGCCACACTGACAGCTGTAACCTACTGGCTCTAACAGCAGAAGAGACCTTAAAACTGACTGTACAAGCTTTGTCACACTGTGACAACAAATATTAAAAAGAAAAAAAAAATATATAGAAATCTGCAGGCCTGAAATAAAACGACCCCATTGTAGGCAGATCAGTGTCGACAAACAGATAGTCCTTAGTCCACCAGAAGTAAAAGTTGCCATAGAAGCTTCCATTGTACATATGAAACTGTGATAGGAAAAACATCTTAAAAGAGCATGCTCTGTCGTCTGTTCTTGCCGTGCCCTACAAGACAACAAGGAATAACAGAAAAGAAGATGGACAGTGTTAGAAACAATAAAACTAATATGTGATTCAAAGTCAGTCATTAATTCTGAATATATTAGTACCAGTAGATTGATCACCTTCATATATAAAACAAGGGAGCGTAGAAACTGAGTTATAGGGCTTTCCATAGCAGGTTCTATTTATCTAAGAACACTCACACTCTAAAGATGACAACAAAATTCTACTACCTTTTATCGATAGAGTCCTACTGACATGGATGGGAAAACAGACAACTGCAAGGTGTTAGTACCGTCCTTTTGCTGAAACCAAATTTTGTTCCTTATGCTTTATTGGTTGACCACAGAAGGAGGGAGGAGAATCTCTCTAATAAATACGAAAGGGTAAGTAGACCTTCCCCAATTTAATAACAGTGCTTTTCCTGCTTTTTATTCTTATTGATGAAATGACCCTTATTTTCTTGTCCTAGTTATGACACAGGAAGTGAAGGAGAAGTGCCCCTCCCATTGGGAAGAAAGCATAAAAGAAAAAAAAAACATAAAACCTAGCAGAAATCTCAACCCCTTTCCAATCTAACCAAACTTGAAAGAAAAAAAAAATAAAATAAGTTGGGGCCTAGAGTTACACTAGTTTGAGGCAAGCAGCAAAACAGATTGGTATAGCACTGGTAAAATTGTCCAATACAAGTTCGATGTGGATTCACAATTTGGAATGATGAAGCCATCAGGGCCCTGCACTCTGCACATCATGCACTTAACTACTAGAATTCTTGAAAGCAATTTCACTTCAAATCTCTAACTTGGATGGCTGTAAAGCCTTCACAAATAAAAAGACTTCTGAGGGACTATAAAAATAGCACGATAATCTATCTCCCTGTGACATGATAAATGGTAAGCCTTTAACTAATAACGTTGTTCTAATGAACATGAAAAAATTCAGAGGAAAAATATATTAGGATCCAGAGTAAATGACATTGAGGGACTCAAATGACATTGACCTAGACAGCTTCAGTGACACCCAACAGCTTTATGATCCTCGAAATAAACACAATTACCCCACATCAATAGCATGCCACAGATATATATATATATATGAAAAAGAAAAGTACACCCTCTTTGAATTCCATGGTTTTAAGTATCACCACATAATAGAAATCATCTGGTTCTTAGAAGGTCTCAATATCAGCCTAAATGGAGAAGTTATGTGCGGGAGACCAAGTACACCCTTACTGCTTCCATAGAGGCTAAGTAGCAGCCAGGTGCTGCTAATCAAATGCCCCTGCTTGATCATCAGCCAGTTTGACCACCTCAATTAACCGCTTGCCGTCCGCCCGTTACAAAAAAAACGGACGGACGGCACAGTCACATTGGCGGGCTGCCGTAACTAGACGGCATTTATTTTCTGCGCGCGCATGGGCAGAAAGAACCCGTCCGATGTAAAGAGCCGTTACCGGCTATTTCACATACACATGATGGGCGGCTCTATAGCCTGCCGATCGTGTGTATGTGCTGGCTGTGTGACCCCCCCCCCGAGTGCTGCCTCCCCTCCTGACCCCTGAGCTTCAATCCCGGGATCTGCTGCCCCATCTGCGGCCAGGGAACGACTCGGGAGGGTGTCAGGAGGTAAGATGGGAGGGAGATCAGCATCTTCCTCCTTGCTGATCTCCCCTCTATGCTGTGAATGCAGAAGTGATGTGTATTACATCACTTCCGCATTCACCTGTCAGTCATCTGGCTGCTATAGCCAGAGAGAAGAAGCTGATGAAGCAGATCTCTGTTTCATCTGCTTTTGGGGTCCCCAGGTGACATAAGGGGTCCTAGAGACCCCCAATGTCTCCATAAAGAGGACCCGTCAGTGTGCCTTTGCAATTATATAGGGGGATTGTTACCCCCTATGTAATAGCAATGACATTAAGTGTAAAAAAACATAAAAAGTAAAATAAAAATAAAAGTCATATATAAAAAAAGGAGAAAATTATCTCCCAAAAATGTTAAGTCCCCCACGTTTAAGCACAAATAAAAAGGAAATACGTGTCCGGTGCACCAGCGCGCGAAAACGACAATTGCGCTACACGTTACATACCGTCGCGAACGTTGGAGTGGGAGCAATCATTTTAGGGCCATCAATCACTGATAATGTTAAACTGATGAGTGTTAAAAGCTTTTAAAGCGTCACCTATGGCCAATTTTGGGTACTCGACATGTTTGGGGACTTGACATGTTTGGTGTCTTTTTACGCGACGTGACCCCGTCACGACGGGAAACCGTTTTTTAAAAATACATTTCGGTAATTTTTCCTTAATATAGTAAAAAAATAAAACCCCCAGTGGTGATTAAATACCACCAAAAGAAAGCCCTATCTGTCCCCCAAAAAAATGGAATAAAATTTATCTCAGTACAGCGCTGCATGACGGAATAAATGTCAAAGTACTGCAGCGCTGAATACTGAAAAATGGCCTGGATGGGAAGGGGGTGTAACACTGCGGACTTAAAGTGGTTAAAGCAGACGTTTTAGCAGTTTGCTGGTCTGAAACATTCAGATGCGTGTTAACACATTGCCGAGGTAAGACATCAGCAATGATCTTAGAGAAGCAATTGTTGCTGCTCATTAGTCTGAAAAGAGTTTTAAAGCCATTTCCAAACAATTTAAAGTCCATCATTCTTCAGTGAGAAAGATTATTCACGAGTGGAAAACACTGAAGACAGTTGCCAATCTTCCCAGGCGTGGACGTCCCAGCAAATTCACCCCAAGGTCAGACTGTGCAAATGGGTAATGCAACAGGTTAAAGGAGAACTATGACATGAGTGCTTTTCACTCACCTCATAGTTCTAGCCGACCTGTGACAATGAGACTGTCACAGGTCGGCTCAGTAGATCGGGAGGTGAGCGAACACATACCGGCGTTCGCTCACCTCTTGATCCTGTCACGGCTGTCTGCTGTGACAGGGGAGGGGCTGGATTCCCCCTTCCCCATTCCAATCCGCCAGCGCTGACTGGCGGAATGGATGGGGGAGGGGGCGGGTACAGCTGGCTATGCCTCTAGATAGGCAGAGCCAGCTGTCAGTCACGCAGCGGGGCGGATCCAGACATAATTGTCAGGATCCGCTTCAGCTGCGGCGGCTCAGTATACCGCGAGCAGCAGCTCGCGGTATACTGCGGCGTCTCAGTATACTGCGAGCTACAGCTCGCGGTATATTGAGCCTAGGGTGACGGGAGGACGCTAGTTTGTGTCCTCCCGTTACCCTAAGGAGAACTATGGGGAAAAGCCCTAACCCCATAGTTCTCCTTTAATGATCCCAAGCACACCAGCAAACATACAACAGAATAGCTGAAAAATAAAACAATCAAACAAAACAAGGTGTTCCAAAGGCCCAGTCAAAATCCTTGAGCTGTGCATAAACAAATGCCCGCAAACATCAATGAACTGAAGCAACGTTGCAAAGTGGGCCAAAATTCCTCTAATAATGTGAGAAACTGATAAAGTCGTAAAGAAAACAATTACTTCAAGTTAGGGATGCACCGATATATCGGTCGCCGAAACATATGGTGTGAAAATGGCACTTTTGGCAAAATGCCGAAAGTGCCATTTTCTGGCCGATATAGCAGTGTATCCATTCTTTCTCTCCACCCTGCTGGGCGCTGCTCTGTATCCCAGCGGGGAGAAGAGAAACTGTCACAGGTGGCCGAGTGCCGCGGGAGGAGAGCGCTGTAGATGGCCGGCGTCTCTCCTCCCTGCACCACTCAGCCTCCTGTGACAGCGCGGAGAGCGAGTACAAACACTCGGTGATCAGTGATCGCTGAGTGTTTGTAAATAGAGGACTGAGTATGTTTACTTTATCCTCAATTATGAGTGAATGGGAAGTGATCTACATCACCTCCTGTTCATTCATGATTGTGGTTATAGTAAACACACCATGTTCTCATGTTATTAATGAACAGGAACACTCAGTATAGAGGATTCCTGTTCATTTATAAGTGGGGCTGCAGAAATAGAGATTGTGTTCTCAAACTCTTTTTCCATTTCAAAAAAGGAAATATCAGTGGTCTGTTTAGACCCTTAATATTTCCCCTAAGCACCTAAAAGTTAAAAATATTTAATAAAAAATGAATAAAATCTAAAAATAAAAGGTTTATAAAAAATCTAAAAAAAAAAAATAGAAAAAGTTTTGTGTGTGTGTGTCATGTGACAGGTTTTTCTAAAACAATACAGACTAATGATTTTAGTGGTGGAGCGCCAGGGCCAAGTTGCAGCTGTGACCCCTGCAACCCTGGTAGTTTTGCCACTGAGTCTAAGCTGTAGAGGGACTACAAATCTCAGCAATACATTATATAGCAATGCAGAAAAATATATCGCTACATATTTTATGCTGCTACTCTGGTCCGGTGTGCCGGCCTGATGTCTTGGGTGGAGGGTTTCAAGAGACGGAAATGTGGGGGTGGTGGAAGTGCTGTAGACAGGCACTGTGTGGACCCTGGCAAACGCGGGACCTAAGGCAGCTACTTTATTTGAAAAATGAAAGCGCTGGTATAGGTCTTTAGTATCAGGGCATTTTCACGCGTACTGGTAAAAATGCCCAGTATCAGCACAGATACTGATATTGGTGCATCCCTAATTTACATACACGCCTACCCAATAATGTTTTCTGAAAGTAGCTGCCATACATCATTGCTTATTCCATATTTAATAAAAATCTGACAGCTTTTGATTAAAAAAAAAATACTGTAAATAAAAGATCTGAAAATGCTATAGACTAAAATGATGGGATCCTTGACCTAACATTTTGTCACATATTCTTTAGAAGCAATCACTGCAAACAAGCGATTTCTGTAGCTCACAATGAGACTTCTGCTCCTACTAACAGGTAGTCTGGCCCACTCTGCTTGATGAAACTCTCCCAGATGTCTCAGGTATGAAGGGTGCCTTCCCCAGACTGCATGTTTCAGCTCTTTCCAGAGATGATCAATGGTATTCATATCAGGGCTCACAGAAGACCACTTCAGGTTTGTCCTATGTTTTATTCTTAGACTTTCTTTGGTGCTTTTAGCTGTATGTTTTGGGTCATTACCATTTTAGAAGACCCATGATCTGTGACTGAGACAGAGGTTTCCGACACTGGGCAGTACATTTTGCTCCAGGACTCGTGTCCTGCAGAGATAAAAGGCATCCCTGTGCCAAACGCAGCAAAGCAAGCATAAAACATGACCAAGCCTCCTCCATGCTTTAAAGTAGGTATGGTGGTGTTTTTTTTAAGTATTTTGTCGTTTTTGAACATAGAGCCAAGGTGACTAGCCAGAAAAGCTCCAGTTTTGTCTCAACTGTCCAAAGGACATTTTCCTAGATACATTGTGGCTTGTCAATAAGCATTTAAGCAAATTCCAATCTGCTAATTTTATGTTTCTCTTTCAATAGTGGAGTCCTCCTGCGTCTTCATCCTTTGAGCTCATTGTTGCTCAAAAAAGTGGCAGATGGTGCAAACAACAACCAATGTATCTTGATCTTGGAGTTCAGCTTGTATGTCTTTGGAAGTTTTCTTGGCTCTTTGTCTACCATTCACACCATCCTTCTGTTCAATCTGGGGTCGGCTTTCCTCTTATAGCCATGTCTAGGCAGGTTGGCTTCACTCCCATAGACCTTTAACTTCTTAATATTTGTGGCTGCAGTCACAGGAACATCAAGCTGCTTGGAGATGGTCATAGACTTTACCTTTAAAATGCTAGTTTAATTTTCTTTGCAATCTCCTGCCTTTTCGGGTCCATGTTCAGTGTGGTGCACTCGATGATACCAAACAGCAGGGTGACTTCTTCCACCATTTAAATAAGCTGACTGACTGAGAACAAGATTGATGATGTGTAATACTAATTACGGAAAACCATCCAAAGATTTATAATTTTTTTCAAGGGGTACCAACAAATTCAACGAGATCATTTCAAAGGGTCTTTGTCCAATAGATACCTGCTATTGTTTATTGCACAAATGATAAGTGGGAACAACCTAAAATCTACAGATATTAGACAATATCTGTTAAAAGAAAAGAAATATATACGCTTTCCATGCATTTAACTGTACCTGTCTCTGGATAGGAAGAATTTCGAAAGCCGGGATCTTTCTGCAACTGGATATCCTGAAGACTGAATATTGATATATCTAAAAAGTAAAAGAGGATTACATTCAGTTTAAAAAAAAAAAAAAATTAACAAACTCTCAAAAAAAAATCATTGTTTGTGCCCTGCTGGAGACATTTCCAATCGTTCCCTCACAGGAAGTAAGGGGAATTCTTGCCAATAGTGTCAAAGACAGCAATAGAAACTAGTCAGAGCAGGAAAGGGGTTAAAGCCTATCTACAATAAAATAGTACATTTTAACTGGAGCCGGGCTTTACAGCAGGCAGCACAACTTAAACTTAAAGTGTAAGATAAAGCAATGGTCAAGAGTTAGACCCTCAAGGGTCAAATTTTTTTATTGTATACCTGTTAGGGAGATTTACTCCTTCATTTATCCTAGTGATCATTGAGAAGAAGAAATTCAAAATCATAGCGTTGTCACCAAAGAGGGGAGGGAAAATCCTCCAGTCTTGGCTTTACATACACTTTAAAAGGTTAATTATACTTTCAAACAACGTGCATTTATCCTATTTGCCTCCTTCCCCTAACCTAACCCACCCTCCACAGATCCATACTCACCTTGATCAGACGGTGGTGGTTCCACCATTTGTTTACACCCAGCACTTCAAGTCTTCACTGTCCTGGCCCCACCTGTGCATTGCAGCTCCATAGACTTCTATAGAATCATCTCCGGCCTCAGGACACAAAACCATAGAAGTCTATAGGGCACCAATATGCAGCCACAGGACAGTGAAGACTTGCACCACTTAGATGCAAACAAACAGCATAACTGTGGCTGCCGGAGGCAAGTTTGCATATATGGTGTGGGAGGGTGCATTAGGCTAGCCCAGGGGAAGAGGACAAAAAAGGATAAATTAACTTTGTTTTAAAGTACACTTATATTTTATTAGTCATTCTAAATCTTTGGATTTACATACACTTAAATCAGCGTTTGGGATGCCATTGAAATAAATGGCACTGCAAAGCACCTCCCGCAGCAGAATTACTTTTTTTTGCAACTTTTATAATAAAAAAACCTAAAAAAACTAATTGTATTGTAAAACACATGGCGCTTGAATAGCTTCAGCCAGGGAATGACAGCTGCCAGTGGCAAGATTCAGAAGACGACAGCTGAATGAAAATACAGCAGGTAGAAGGCCGATGCAATAGCCAGTTTGTTATTGGCCATTTCAATTTGCAAATGCCTAGGGCTGCAGCTATTATTTTCATAATTGATTAGTTAGCCATTAACTTCGAATTAATTGATTAAATCGGATAACATAAAAAATACCATCATATAAAATAAAATACACAAATGCAGTGTTACAGACATAACGTTGATTTCAGATTAAAACGGTATGCACGGTTTTTTAAATCGCACTGCACTGAAATGCGTTCCAGTGCGAGCAACACTGCGGAAGGGAGGTGCATTTTTTTAAACTTTTTATTTAATTTTAGTTTAACTTAATTTTTTTTTTTACTTTATTGCTGGGAGCAATAGCTAGCCTGCTATTGGATATTTCGAAACTGCAATAGCCAATAGCAGGCTGGCTATTGCACCGCCCACTGTCTGCTGTCAATCAGCAGAGGAGGGACCTGAAGGAGAAAGAGGAACAGGGCGGCAAAGGAGGCGGGACGGGGGGCCTGGCCGAGGCAGAGCGGGGCCTGGCCAGAGGAGACATGAGGCGGCAGCGGAGGCATACACGGCAGAGAAGGACCGGGAAAGCAGCAAAGGTACAGGGGGGAAATGCAGTCACAACAGTCTCTCCTTTCCTCTGGCGCCGGCTGCAGTGGTCTGTGTCCCCACAGCCTCTGCCGGTACAGGCGGGCATTGAAAAGGACACAGACGGCTGCAGCCAGCACCAGTGGGGAGAACAGAGGAGCAGAGAGGTGGCAGCAACTAAATCGATAAGAATCGTTGCCGACAATTCTCATTATCGATTATAACCGAATTGATTAATTGTTGCAGCCCTACAATAGCACTGCTTGCTATGCTCTCCTCCCAGTATGGAGGAGAGAGCTAGGGGATCCAACCAACTAATTGATGAGACAACTATTCTCATTATCGAGTAATTGGTTGCAGCCCTAAAAATGTGTGGTTTTGGCTGAAAGCTGGTCTTTCCAGAGCACTGTCCTTTGTGGCTGGACGTACAGTGTACGTCTCCCGTCACGAAGGGGTTAAGGAAAGTTAATTCAGCACTTTCATAGCCATTTATTAAATGTATTAATTGTAAAGTGGCTACTTTAACAAAACACACAGAGACAATGGAGAACAAAACTATCCACCCTCCAGAAGGAAGGACAGTGTCAGCACAAGTTCAAGGATGATGTGAAGATCTACAGCTGAGTGATACACAAATAAGATGCATTTTTGTTAAATAGTTAAAGGTACTTGAATGTATTTTTAAGATTTAACTTCTGAGTTTAGTGTCACATTTAAAAGGGAGTACGATGTTCAGCACAGAGCGAATTTCGCTGCTGGCAAATGTTGGATTGCTCCTGCAGCTAGACTACAGGCTATACCTGCGGCATTGTCCATTCTGATATCATTAACACTTTAAATCCAAACATTAACTCTGAAGAATAATGAAAACATATTTCCCAGTAAATTCTAATTTCTATTTTTTCATGCAATTCTAACAATAGATCCCATCAAGAATCCATTTAATGATCTTACTTTCCGCCAAGCTCTGCATTTTAGTTCCAAGACTTCTGAAGTAAGCATGTTTCATAGCATCTTCTGCTGAAATCCGCTTCTTAGATTCATACTGTAAAACAGGAAATGGTTTTATAAATCACTGAGGAAAATGGCTATCAGCATTGCCAAAGATGACTTACAAGCCTGTAGCTTGTCAATCAGCACCTGGCCAAAACTAGTCCTGCCAACTGCTTTCTGGATTGACAACACTGCCTTCATTGCTGAAACCCTCCCACTGAGTGGCAGGGTCTGGGAGGAGGAGGATGTGAGACACAAACGAAGTAGGATTTGGCTCAGTCCTGGAAGGAAAAGGAAGTTTTTTTTTGTTTAAAGATGAGGCTTGTGCATCACATAGTAACTGAATTCGGTACTTGCTTACACTTTCATACAGGAGCCTTTAGTTGTACATTAATTGTTCGCCTTTAGTTGCCCTGCGTTACTTTACAAAGATGACACAGGTTCTGATTTACTGGCCTGGTTGACGGAAATTACATTTCAGCTGTGTGATGTTACATGTTAAATATACACCGATAACACATAACATGACCACCCACCTAATATTGAGTAGGTCCCCCTTTTGCCACCAAAATAGCCCTGACCTGTAAAAGGCATGGACTGCACAAGACCTCTGATGGTATGCTGTGGTATCTGGCACCAAGCCGTCAGTAGCAGATCCTTTAAGTCCTGTCAGTTGTGAGGTGGATGAGACATTTTTGTTTTCCCAGCACATCCCACAGATGCTCAATTGGATTGGGATAAGGACAATTTCGGGGTCTCAAACTCTTTGTTGTGTTCCTCAAACCATTCTTGAAGTGTGGCAGGGTGCATTATCCTGCTGAAAGAGGCCACTGCCATTAGGAAATACTGTTTCAATGAAAGGATGTACTTTGTCAGCAACAATGTTTAGGTAGGTGGTATGTGTTTTCAAGTAACATCCACATGAATGGCAGAACCCAAGGTTTCCCAGCAGAACATTGCCCACAGCATCACACTGCCTTCACCTGCTTGCCTTCTTCCCATAGTGCATCGTGGTGTCATCTCTTCCCCAGGTTACAGATGCACACGCACCTTTCCATCCACATAGTTTATAAGAAACCGTGATTCATCAGACCAGATCACCTTCTTCCATTGTGCTGTGGTCCCGTTCTGATGCGCCCATTGTAGGCGCTTTTGCTGGTGCACCCTGACTGGTCTGTAGCTACGCAGCCCCACACACAAAACAAACTGCGATGCACTGTGTGTTCAGACACCTTTCTATCTCAACCAACATTAACCTTTCAGCAATTTGAGCTACAGTAGCTCTTCTATAGGATCAGACTACATAGGCCAGCCTTTGCTCCCACGTGCATCAATGAGCCTTGGCCGCCCATGACCCTGTTGCTGGTTCACCGGTTTTCCTTCTATGGACCACTGCAGACCAGAAACATCCCACAAGTGCTGCAGTTTTGGAGTTGCTCTGACAGTCGTCTAGCCATCACAATTTGGCCCTAGAAGCTCAAATCCTTACGCTTATCCATTTTGTTTTTCATTCTTCCAACACACCAACTTTAAATATGTTCACTTGCAGCCTAATATATCCCATCCACTTTTAGGTGCCAAAGTAAGAAGATAATCAGTGTTATTCACTTTACCTCTCAGTGGTCATAATTTTATGGCAGATCAGTGTATAGCAGCCAGTCCATGGCAATATACTTTAATTGAACATTGATTTTAAGGCCATGGCTAGCCAAACTATACACTGCTCAATAAAATTAAAGTAACACTTTTTAATCACAGTATAGCATCAAGTCAATTGAACTCCTGGGATATTGATCAGGTCAGTTAAGTAGCAGTGGGGGTTGATAATCAGTTTCAGTTGCTTTGGTGTTAATGAGATTATCAGGCGCACTAGATGGGCAACAACCAGACAACCTCAAAAACCGGAATAGTTTTACAGGTGGAGGCCACTGTCATTTTTTTCCCTACTCATCTTTTCTGACTGTTTTTCACTCGTTTTGGCTAGAGTCAGTGTCACTACTGGTAGCATGAGGCGATAACTGGACCCTATAGCGGTTGCACAGGCATGCCAACTCCTCCAGTATGGCACATCAATACGTGCCATTGCCAGAAGGTTTACAGTGTCTCCCAGCACAGTCTCAAGAGCATGGTGGAGATTCCAGGACACAGCTAGTTACTCTAGGAGAGCGGGACAGGGCCATAGAAGGCCCTTAACCCATCAGCAGAGCACTGGTGAGAATTTCTCTCACTAAACTATCAGAAACAGACTTCATGAGGGTGGCCTGAGGGCCCGACGTCCTCTAGTGGGCCCTGTGCTCACTGCCCGGCACCGTGGAGGTCGATCGGCATTTGTTATTGAACACCAGAATTTTCAGGTCCGCCACTGGTGCCCTGTGCTTTTCACAGATGAGAGCAGGTTCACCTTGAGCAAATGTGACAGACGTGAAAGAGTCTGGAGAAGCCGTGGAGAACGTTATGCTGCCTGTAACATCGTTCAGCATTACCGGTTTGGTGGTGGCCCAGTGATGGACTGGTGAGGCATATCCATGGAGGGCTGCACAGACCTCTACAGGCAATTAATGGCACCCTGACTGCCATTAGGTATCGGGATGAAATCCTTGTCAGACTCTACGCCGGTGCAGTGGTTCCTGGGTTCCCTCTGGTGCATGACAATGGCCGGCCTCATGTGACGAGAGTAGCAGCCAGTTTCTTGAGGATTATGGAATTGATACCATTGAATGGCCCACACGCTTGCCTGACCTGAATCCGATAGAAAAGCTCTGGGACATTATGTCTCGGTCCATCCGACGCCGCCAGGTTGCACCTCAGTCTGTTCAGGAGCTCAGTGATGCACTGGTCCAGATCTGGGAGGAAAAACCCCAGGACACCATCCGTCCTCTCATTAGGAGCATGCCCCGATGTTGTCAGGCATCCATTAAAGCACGTGGGGGCCATACAAACGAATGAGTACCATTTTGAGTTGCTGCAATGAAATTTCAGCACAATGGACTAGCCTGCTGCATCATTTGTTCACTTTGATTTTTGGGTGTCTTTGAATTCAGCCCTCTGTAGGTTAATAATTTTTCATTTCCATCAAACGATGTGGCGTCCTTTCGTTCCTAACACATTACCCCGTCCAGTATACAGCAGATACCCAGCATGATATTTTTCCCCATTGAATTCTGATGTGTTTTCAAAGTGTTCCTTTAATTTTTTTGAGCAGTGTATGTGTAAATTATATTTATATATGTTTTCTACTCCAGCAGCAAAGTCTTTTTACCGAACCTCCTTGCTCTCCTGGCTACTACAGGAAGAGCCATACTCCGCTGTTACTAAGATAATTACACCAAATTCATCAAACCTGCGAGGAGTTTCCGTAACTGCCACAAAAAAAAAGTAATACATCTTTTTTGTGCCCATGGTAATAGTATTTAGTTTGTATAAAGAATTATCAAGAATCTTCACCCCCTCGTTTAATTGGCTTTCTGCCACTTTTGCAAACAAATTTGGATAACATTTATTTGTTGCAGTTTTTTCACATAGCATAACCATTTTTTTTAAAAATCAGCTTGAACAATGCATTCCTTATTCTAGAAGAAAAGCTGTTCTGAGTTTTGCTCTTCAATGCACTGTGCTGGAAGATCTAATAGTTGTAAACTAGATTTGAACACTGTCTGTCCTAACAAAGGGTTAAAAATCTAGAATTATTGTATATTAATGAGGGGGGAGCTCATAATGTCCCCAGTTTTTCTATGGAAACAGAGAGAAGCGTACAAGGGCCTGCTATACAGACACATCTAAAAGGTAAGAAGTATTAATAAAAAAATATATTTTTGGCTATGCTACTTAGGGGCACATAAAAACACATTTCTCAAATTTTATGGCAAAAGTGAAAATACACTTTAAGGCAAGATGCTTGTAAGAAAAGATTGTGTTTAATTAGTTTGCATGCATTCAAACAATTAAAACAAAGTATTAAACACAGTCTTACCTGAAGAAACCGTGTTAATAACTCAATTCCTTCAGAATCTAACCTAAAATAAAAAAACACATACAAGTTAAATGTTAGCAAAAAAAAAACAGACATAACTGCAGTTATCACACAAAAAATCTGTTTGAAGAATTAAAATTTTTCATTAACGGAGGAAGAAAAGTGAACATTGCACTGGGTTTGTTTGGAAAAGTCGTGCGTTAGAGCAGTACAGCCTGGCAGCTGTGCAGCCATGGAAAGACTGGGACAGACCATTGTAAGGGCCTTCCTATGCGTTTTTGTTCGTGTTAGAACTGCTTTTTGTCCAGTGGAGGTCAATGGGAATGCAAAACCAGGCTGATGCAGATCGGGATATCAAATGTGATCAGATGGAGAGTAAAATCTACCTCTCAATTAACTCTAAATGAACTGAGAAGTGTTTCAAACTCATCTCAATTGAAAGTGGAATTTAAAAGAAAGCATTCCACATTTGCCCATCGACAAATGAGCTAGGAGAAGCATGAGATGGAAGCTTGCATGGGGTGTTTGGTACACAGATGTGTCAGATTGTCATTTATTAGGCCAAATAATGTCCCTTATAAGAAAAAAAAAAAGTACAGGATGCCTGCAACCATGTCACTTGTCTGAATATTCTGGATAATACCACAGTGTACATGGGGGTGACATGTTTCCTCCACAGGGGTAGAAGGCAGTAATGGAAGATGAAGAACGTACTATTTATAAAAACTGTACAAAAGGTGTATATTCTCTCATCATGAAATATTGGAGAGCTAACACATATACTGTTTTCTGAACAGTTTAATCTTCCCTTGAACATTGTGTAAAATAATAACTGATTTTATGATACATTTGATCGATTTGTTATATAAGCTGTGCCTGGGAATCTTCTGAGGGGACGGAAAATACATTAAAATAAATCTCTTATTACAAGAAACCTCAATGTCCCTCTTTGCCCATTTCAAGTGTTGGGACTTGTGAGGTCTCACACTGTTGCCATGGTAAATACTTGGGATTCAGAGAGCTGCATAAAGCTTGCCTTTGCATGGTAACAGAGAGCTAGGTCTGATTTACACTCCAAACATTCCATCAGTGGATATTCACAGCCACATAAAGATCATCAGAAAAATGAAATGAGTTTCCATCCCAAAAACAGCTAAATGTCCCATTATACAAATGTATGCACATTTAACTAAAGCTAGACATTTCCTTCTATGCATATAGCAGAACTGAGACGAAGGTGGGTGCCCCTTAATCTGTTTTCTAGACATCCAATGACAAAATGTAATAAGAGGGATTTTAAAAATGTATTTCTATTTGCAGAAACTTCACAAACTGTGTAAACACCGTACAGGTATAAATGGATGCAAGTATTAATTTTTGGGAAGGATAGAAAAGAAAACATGAAAATAATAGGTATTGATCCTTTATTTTCATCAGAAAAACCACAATGCTTATCTGGATTGTATAGAACCGCCAAATGTGATCTCTACCTTGGTGCATGATTAAGAAGTGGTTGAGGTTTGTACTTTGGAAAGTTGTAATTTCGGAATTCATCATTTGAAGAAATTCCAGACCAGGATTCTTCTGTTGGAGTGCCTGAGGGAAAAAAAAATAAGATAAAAAAATGTAGCTTAAATGAACACAAAGTAAATCTGTAAAAAACCTAGGGAATTAAAACGGAGTATGTAACAAACAAAATGTATAATCAGTTGTTAACTTTCATGAAAACCATGGATCGAAATAATCAGTAGCTTCAGACATACAGATGGATTAAGTTATATGCACATCTTAACTTTTGATATAAAAATAGCCCCTTTTCTATGTCTTGAGACTTCCTATTGTTTAGTAAAGCTGCTTATCATAGTGACCAACAGGAAGGCTCCTTTGGAAGAAGGGGTGGAGCTGAACTTTAACAGGAAAAAAGTCAAAACCTACTTTTTAGATTCAGTTTTTTAAGCGGCCATATGAAATTGACCACATAGTATTACAATCTGACTGTACATTCTACTCCAGATCGACAATACAGTGCAAGAGGCTGCCTGATGTTCTACAAAATCAAAAGATTGTTTAGACCCCAAAACTTCGATACATTAAAAGGGGACTGTACAGAGTCTGTAATTCATATTTGAAAATGCCTGGCTAACTTATCAGATCAGGTAGACATCCACATTACATCGTTTTTGGTAATCCTATGGCGGTTGTACCATTACATTGCACCATGTAAGGCCAGTTTTACAGCAGACAACAAGCTGCCTATTACATTTGCTATCCAGAGAATCCTACTCTACATGTCTCTTCAAAACTACCGAGAGTTTCTTCTACTGGCATCTGAGGAAACTTTGGGCACAGTAATGGCAGCCGTCAGGGTTTAGACCTGTTGTAAGGTTCTTCGTAAAGGGTAACAAAGTTTAAGAGAGACCCACAAAAAATGTTAGGGCTGACAATGGTAATAACAGGACTTTTAAACATATGCAAAGTATGAGCCTTTTACTTTTAAGGTTCTGCACCCTGCGGTTTTGGTGCATAACCATTCTGGTATGGCACATTTCACCATGAAAGCACCAGGACAGCCTCCATAAAAATGGTTTTGATCTTCATCTAGGTATGTAGAGTGTCAGGGTACACTGTACTAAGACAAGAGATTATTTTTTCACAATGAAGAGTAATATTAAATCACTTTAAAGAAATTAGATAATACTCTACCTTTGCTACAAAATATATTGGGTCAAATAAAAAATACAATTGCGAAAGGAGCCATTTAAATAATTAAGGCCCTACACCGCATCTAAATGTGGATGCCGACGATTTTGGTAAAATTCAGCAATATATACAAGAATTGAAATGTCCCACAATGACATCCTTTCATCTTTACAGTCACATTTTATATATTTCAACTATTGTAAATGTCTTTCACACAAGAGGAAAAATATGGGTCGCTACAGAAACTTCAGAAAGCATCATATCCACATTTTAAATTGTAGCTCTCGGTAAATTAGGTTGGAGTTCATGATCAAGCAAAATACAGAAGTGAAGCTAGCCACTTATTTTTCTTAAAGACCCAGCACCGTATACAGCACTTTGGCCTACTGATAAAGCCTGCCTGCAGATAATCTGTCTCAAATCCTATTGGCAGAATCCAATAGCTAAGTTTATCCTGTGACTGATGGCTCTCGCTGGTTGGATCTGTAAAACGCTCTTATTTTTATGCAAGCAAGTCTGAATAAAGACAGATTCTAAAAATGTTGCAATTTATATTGTGATATGTAGGTAACATACATTAAAATGTCATAATCCTTTACCTAGAAGCCTGAAAATTAAATGAAGTTCATCTTCTACAGTGGACCCAGGAAAGAGAGGTCTTCCAGAAGCCATCTCAAAAAATATACAGCCAACACCCCTTTAAACAAAAAGAAAATCACATAAATAAAACTCATTGGATTATTACAATGTATAACATGCATACAGCTTCAGCCTGAAAAACTAGGTTTTACATATTTATTATACTTCTAATGGCCAGAACCCTTAACGCAACGAAAAAAACCTGAAAAACCTCTTAGGGCCCATTTACACTTTCATGATGCGGTAACGTGTGGCAACGCACATTACATGTGTTGCTGTGCCAGAAAAAGTATTGATGCTTTGCCAAAAATTGTGCATGCCCGTGCTGGGCATGTTAAGGCACATTGGCATCCTATTTATTTCAAAGGGCTGCCTTGATTGCAATGTGCCTTGCAACCCCGCAAAATAGTAAAAGGGTCCTTAAATTGTAGTTCCATGTTTTCAGTCAGATTGGGATAACACCTTTTTTATGTTTGTTATATTTTCCTATTTGTATTGCAGAAAAAAAAAAAAAAAAAAATAAAAAAAAAAAAAAAAAAAAAAAGAAAAGCCATTAATATTTTAAGTGCTTTTTAGTTACTTAAAATCCTACCTAGCCGCCCCCTATGTAATGTTAAGGAAGGGGTTGTATGAAGTTATGTGTACTCTAATTAACCCCGTCTGTATTGCATTGGCAGATCTCACTATCCATTGTAAACCAGATTTGAGCACTGTTTGTCAAAGCGAGGTTTCAAGGGTTCAAGCATTCAGGTTAATAAGAGGAAGTTCAGTCTGACCCTCAGCCTGACCATCTAGCTTCGCTTTCAAACTGCCAAACGGCCTTCACCAAGAAAAAAAAGGTTAAAAGGTAAGAAATATATTTTAAAAAATAATTTTAATTATGCTATGTGGATAGAAAAACGTGACAAACAGTGAGGTTTTCTCAAATTTGACAGCAGAAAAGTGGAATCACACGTTAAGGCACTGAACATTTAAATTGAAATCAGCCAAATATATTTCCGGTGTATTAAAACAAAATATGTTTAAAGACTTGCAGTTTATTTCCAGCGGCTGAAAAGTGGGATCTTTGCTCTCTGAGGGGAAGCAGTGGCTCTTCTGGCACAATCTTTGCACAATCAGTAGTAACAGAGGGGAAATAGGATGGATAGAAAAAACGGCCACAGAAGACTCTCAGAACATGAGAGAAGTATATCTTCTTATATTAAAACACTCTACAGATAGTTATTAACTTCCAGCAAATGTCTTGAACTTCTGTCATAGCAAGAAAACTGTTTGCATTTTTACCACATGTCAATTTGCGTTGAATACTCAGAAGACCCGAGGAGGACATCTGGCGGCCTGTACCATAATGTGACAACCTCATTGGAATAGGTTTTTGTGGGAACAGATTTCGCTCTGGCCAAACCTTAGGGAAAGAGAACAATTTTGCTAATTTGACATGTGTATTTTTAAGACAGTATTTTTTTTAAGAAAGTATTTTAAGTGTGTGACAGTTGTTGTGTTTTAAGAAAGTGTGTTCTAGAGAACAAAGAAAGGGAGTAACGGAAAACATTAAGTACTAACTTAAAACACAACAACTGTCAATTTCTCTGCACAAAGCCTGTTTGAGGCTCCATGGTAAAGCCAGCTTTTTTAGTATTCTAGAAAGGGACACACCAGGCAACCAAGCAAGGTTACAATAGAGTCCCCGCAAAGGCATATCATGTGACTGTACCATGGTCTACACATGGTTAGTACCTCTTGTCTTGCATTCGGATGGAAAAATGTTACCTGTGCTCCCTCAAGCAGTGTTTCTGTGCACAATCAATATTTAAAAATCAAACTAGGGATGCACCGATACCAAGTACCGTCCTTGGTACAAGTACAGATACTTTTCCAGCTCCAAGACTAGACTACAGAAAAATTCAAAAAAGTTAGGGAGGCAGCTGTCATTTTTAAGGAGCATAAGGGACTCCTGGGATTTGTACATCTCTGTTTTAATGTATGATTTTTTTTCTAATAAATATATAAGTGATGCACCGATACCATTTTTTCAAGTACAAGTACTGATACTTGCCCAAGTACTCACAGATACAAGTATTGATACATTTTTGTTTATGGTCATGTGACAGTTTTTGTAAAACAATACAGACTTATGACTTCAGGTACAGTGGTGGAGCTCCAGGGCCCAGTCGCAGCTTCAGCCGCAGCAACCCTGGTAGTTCTCGTGAAAATGCCAGGTATTGGCAATGGTATCTGAAAATCCCTAAAACAAACCAATCACATTTCCAACTGACACGTATTCCCTAAAGAGCTGCAAAGTAATACCAAGATTTAAATGTTCATTTAATATTGAAAAACTCCCCAAAAGGCATAAATGGCACAAACATTATAAATCTCTGCTCTGGCAGATGGACTTAATCTTTGTTGTAGATCCCTGTTCCTGTGATTTTCAACTCCCTTATTTCATTTACTATTCTGGGTGTAAAGGACAACGAGGATTGCCCACGCTTCATTTCAGCAAATCATCTTCAACAACTGTCATTAGCGTTACATAACTGTAGCTTTTTGTCAGCAATTTAAAATGATCTATGTCAGAGTCAATCAACTGTGATAATATCTACGATCACAGTCCATTTCATCCTCATTGTTTAGACAGTAACCACCCTCCAGCATCGGTGTACATTAAAATGAAACTTGCCCAAACACGAGATTCTGCAGAAGTGCTTACTGAATCGTAGATTAGACTGCTGCACGCATGAAAAAGACCATGTTAAGCATTACTGTGCCTACAGATGTTCAGATAATGCCTAGATTTAGAGCAGCAACAGCTAAAAAAAACGTTCTGCTTTAATCCAAGATACAGGGAGTAAACACAAAGCAAGCAACAGGGGAGGCTTGGATATAAAAGAAAGGGATTTGGAAATGGAACCAAAATAACCGATTTTCATTTTTATACAACCTTCCAAAAATAAGCCTTTCTCACCACACATACATCACTAGACTGCTCTCTTTCTCAAGTTAAAAAGGTTTCACAATTGTAATCTAATGCTATTCCAAAACTTCACAATGTTCTGCATTATTACACAACAACATTAACCACATGCTTGTAGAGACTTTACACCGGGAAATGGAAATGTTTATGATTCAGGTGGCCACATACTGGTGTGACTAGTCAGAAAAATGTGACTGTAAGCAACTACTTGCTTCCACTGAGCAACCGCGACCTGAGCAGAATACCCCACAAGTCCGTACTATAAATAGAAACGTCGCTACTGGGGTAACAATGGGACTGCTAATATCGGTTCTTCAGCCTTAATTTTATCCACATGCTGAAAATATGCTGGCATCAGATTTACTTTACTAAAGTCAGACATCCTTTCATTCAACCTATATTTATTTCTATTCTTGAGCAGAATATTTACATTCTTGTAAGGTAGTATCTCGATCATATGCAATAAAATAGAATGTAGCTTAGCAACATTGAATGGTGGAAATATAAAAATAAACCGTTCTGCTACACTAAGAAAAATAATTTCAGAATCCTAAAACCTCATGTTTATACTTGTTCTTGACAACATGACAAAACTATGGAGGTCATACACTCATCCTGCAGTTATCATTTATACCAAAAGGGTTTCCCAAAAAATACAGTACGCAATATCTGAAGAAGGCACCTCACTCCTAGGCAGAGCTGCAATACATACCAGCAAGCTGTACACCCCTGTCTCGGATAACAGTCATCAGCTGCTTTAGTTATCTTTAGTTTTCCGCAACTAGCATCTAAGTTGAGCAGCACCAAGCACATCCACTGTTTTACAGAAAGTACTCCTCCCAAACATTTCAAGGACTTGACCTCCATTTACAACAGTTGCCATTGCAGCATTCATGTGTGCTACACTCTCTCATTGTAACAAAATTGGGGATAGTCGCATGATCCCTAAAGCCTAATTGTTTCCGGAAAATGAAATAACTGTTATTTGCACCATGTGAAACCATGTCATCAATAATTCCAGGATCCCTGAATATTTTTAGACAGTCTCCACACGAATTGTTACTACATTTTTATACCAGCTTATATAGAATTTTCACAAAACAAGATCAGACTAAAGATAGATCAGTTATATATCACATAAAAGGATAGTACTTTATACCTTCTCACTCCATAACACCAGCAAATATATAAATCAGTAACCAAGGCTTTAATTATTCAACATACCAAAATCGGCTAGCTTTAGTTCCCCTTTCTCATTGATAAGTAGGTTTTGTGGCTTTAAGTCCCGATGAAGAACTTTCCTTTTGTGACAGTAAGCTAATCCCCTTAAAATTTGATACAAAAATATCTAAAAGAGAAAACAAAATATAAATACATGTTAAAATAAATTACACTTGGTTCTAACTTTCAGTACACACACATGCTAAATTAGCAGCCATCACTGAAAAGAATGATTTCCAACATATATCTATTGAAGCAACACAGCCAATACAGATACAAACTTTAACATCATTCACTCAAATGAATACCCATAACACATTTTTATGGTAATTATAAATCTGCTGCCATGGTTTTCCTAATCCCCCCTTTTTTTGTCCAGTGTATATTACCTTTACATTGTGTATACTCATTATATTTCCACAGTCGTCCATATATTGCTTCAAATCTTTGTCCTAAAAAAAACACAAAAAAAAATAATTGCATGATTTGACTACTTCTTACCCTTTATAGTGCTTTGGAAAAAAACTCTATTCAGAGAAGGTACAACCACCTATGCTACCCTCTACTACTGAATACTCCTCAAAAGTTACAGAGATACTCACACGTTCAGGATTACACTTCACTTAGGAGCTAAAGAAATCATGTTAGATCTTCCCCAACCATTCAAGGAGGCTGCTACTTACTTTAGGATATAGTCACTTTAAATTAAAGATAATCTTTGTAGAGCAAAGACAAATTAATCTTAACATTTTACATTATAGTAGAAACATGTCTTCTACATCAAATGGCTGTAACGTTTGTATTTCTTTGCTGTCAAACCTGTCATTTACAAAGACTTTCAACACACATGGAAATGAAAACTGTATGCAACATATGGAAGTCCCCATGAGAATATAGTAATTATTGCCACTGTTTTTTTTTCTTTTCTTGCCTCTACCAAGTGTGTTTTTATTGGATGAGAATTTTCATCGGACATTTTTCTCAAAACTTCATTTTTTTTCTAACTAACCAGTGAAACCAGAGGGCCTGGAAAGATTAGGGGAAGGAATCCCAAACTCATCCATCTTGCAAGATTCATGTGGAAGGTCTAGGAAATGTGTGACCAGGCCAGGAGGGGGATATATGTCAATGGAAAGGAAGGTGAGGCACCAAGCCATTAGAACCATAGGAATTCAGACTACTGCATAATGTATTCATTCAAAATGATCAAGAGATGCAGACATGTTCCATCAACTGTATTCCTGCACATGCATATGTACTCCAGTGTATACTCAGGCATTACCAGGGACATGTGTCCCCTGCTATCTAAAGAGCTAATAACTATTCTAAAGACTATCAATGGAATGTCAGGAACACACATGGGAAGGCAAGCATCTACCAAAATAGTAACAAAATTCTCAGCTTTGCATGCACAGGTTTCTGCAACCTCCCTGCTTCCCAAGTTATACATGTCAATGTGATCGTTTGCACAGTCTCCATAACTGCAGCCTCCTGGCTAAAAGACAGATTCTAGCAAAACTTCACAGCCCTGGGATTTGTACAGCATTGAGCTTGGAGGTGGTGGAGCTGAGCCTTGGTGCAGGGGAGTTTGACTTGCTATGTGTATTTTGGGGTTTCCACAGCATGAAGAGTAGGGCAAATGCCCTGCTCATGGGCTGCAGTGATCAACAAAATGGGGGCCACATGATGCTGGTGATGAAATGGGAGTAGAGCCATCTGTACCTTGCTCCGTTGTGATGCCATCAGCTTGCACATGCAACCTGTGCCCTGTACTGAAAACGTTTCTGTGGTCTTCAACAACATGGCAGCTGTAGTCTACGAGCAGGGAATATGCTGTATTGTGATCTATGGCACTGGGAAATACTGTCACCATTGGTACAAAAACCCCAAATGCTAGACTTAATGACTTCTGGATGCTTGTGGTCCTCACCTGATATTGGACAGCCAAGAGTCACATGATCAGCTGACACATAGCCATTTACACAAAGTTAAGGACTGCAGTGGTAGCTCTCTGTCTCACTTACTGAGTTTGACAAAACTTTATCATAGCAGACAGGTGGCAAAATATAATAAATATTGTAGTGAATCAGATTTATAGACATTTACTTCAATATTGCATAGCTCTAAACAGAATACATACCAGATATTCAAAAACAAGAGTCAATGATTTCTCAGTGTGAACAATGTCATGTAAGGTGACAATGTTTGCATGCTTCAGGTCCTTTAATAACGATACTGCAAGAGGAGAGAAAAATGTTTATGACATTTCAGTGGAACATAACACATTTCATGTTCACACATCTACCAAACCATAAATAATATCTCACACAGCTTTGGTAGAGAGAAGTTTTCTGAGAAATATGCAAAAAAAATGTTCCTCTATAGATGGATTCACTATTTCAAATCACGGGAACATTTAAGCTGAACTGAAATATGCTAATTTCTTACTAAGGTTGGGTAAGTGACTAGGGATTAAAACAGGACAAACAGGTGTGTAATGTTTCATAGCGAGAAACAAGACTATTTTTGTGGGAATTTGTTTCAACTTCTGTTTGTTTCTGCGCCCCCTGTATAGCCACATAACATGTATGTGAATTGTCACTATGTTCACCCTGATGAAGGGACCCTGCATGGCCCTGAAATGTTGGCTTTGTAATGTGATTCTACTATAAATGAACAAGAGGATTTAAGCTCATCCGTCGAGTGCTGGTGATCTTCATTGTTATTAACTTTGGATACGCATGGTGCCATCTGTGGACATCACTGCGAGCACCACTGCTAATAAAAATATACTGGGACCTGATCATTGTAAGGAGTACAGGAGGTACTCCTGGTTAACATATATGTGAATTGCACTATTCACGCATCATAACAATGTCCTTCAAGCTTTTGAATGTCTCTACAGAAACCGAAGTCTCTAAAATCTAATTGTCTTAGAAGACGCTACAATATGTTTTATGTCTCAGCAGAAGTTCCAGCATGCTATACTTGTGTTTCCCTTCTGTCTCTCTAGAAATAAAAGTCCCAGCACACAATATAGGGCCATCTTTAATGCTGATTGGACCCTGGGCAAACATTTTCTTGCAACTGCCTCTTTTGCCCTGTGTTAAAGATGGCCTTGACACTATACATATATTTCTCCAGTCACTGTAGCACTACAAGTCCAAGGACATGTACTTTAATTTCTCCTTTCTTTTACAATATGTTAAGTTTAAGTTTTTTGATAAGGAGACTACCTGCCTATGTTAGTGTTGGTATGCTTTGTGCCTGTGTGGGAGAGTGGGGGTAGTACATCGCCTTTCACTGAAGAACTACAAGCCCCAGGATTGAGTATTAATATTGTATCCCTAGAACTAAAAGCAGACACTGTTTCAAATCACACACACAGCAAGGCATAATTAAAAACCGGCTACAATTGTGAACACTACAAAATGCATCTTGCCTGCACTCAGAATTACTGCATTTCATATATAGATGTGAATACTCCCTCTGGTGGAAATCTGCATGTAACAGGATGACATTAGCATTATGTCTACCACACACAAAATGATCAACAGTCAACAGATTATACAAGCACTCATTTCCAACAATCTTTACCTTAAACATGATTATTCAACTCAAAGAAAAAGGTTGATTTTGCTGAACCTTAGGGGCAAATACTTTATTTTTAATGAAAATGATTGTTTATTGATCAATTAATGCTCTGTGCAATCTGTTTCTGAAAGATATGATTTTCTTTAATTCAAACATTTGTTATATGGAATAAGATTACATGTTAAGTCAGAATTTCACTCGCCAATAACTATGTAGTGCAATGGCCTGTCTGATTAACTGTAAATTGAATAACTTGCCTTGATCCTTTCAGTTTTTGAAATCAACGTGTGTCCGTGTGTGTGTGTGTGTGTGTGTCCGTGTGTGTGTGTGTGTCCGTGTGTGTGTGTGTCCGTGTGTGTGTGTCCGTGTGTGTCCGTGTCCGTGTGTCCGTGTCCGTGTGTGTGTGTCCGTGTGTGTCCGTGTCCGTGTGTCCGTGTCCGTGTGTGTGTGTCCGTGTGTGTCCGTGTCCGTGTGTCCGTGTCCGTGTGTGTGTGTCCGTGTGTGTCCGTGTCCGTGTGTCCGTGTCCGTGTGTGTGTGTCCGTGTGTGTCCGTGTCCGTGTGTCCGTGTCCGTGTGTGTGTGTCCGTGTGTGTCCGTGTCCGTGTGTCCGTGTCCGTGTGTGTGTGTCCGTGTGTGTCCGTGTCCGTGTGTCCGTGTCCGTGTGTGTGTGTCCGTGTGTGTCCGTGTCCGTGTGTCCGTGTCCGTGTGTGTGTGTCCGTGTGTGTCCGTGTCCGTGTGTCCGTGTCCGTGTGTGTGTGTCCGTGTGTGTCCGTGTCCGTGTGTCCGTGTCCGTGTGTGTGTGTCCGTGTGTGTCCGTGTCCGTGTGTCCGTGTCCGTGTGTGTGTGTCCGTGTGTGTCCGTGTCCGTGTGTCCGTGTCCGTGTGTGTGTGTCCGTGTGTGTCCGTGTCCGTGTGTCCGTGTCCGTGTGTGTGTGTCCGTGTGTGTCCGTGTCCGTGTGTCCGTGTCCGTGTGTGTGTGTCCGTGTGTGTCCGTGTCCGTGTGTCCGTGTCCGTGTGTGTGTGTCCGTGTGTGTCCGTGTCCGTGTGTCCGTGTCCGTGTGTGTGTGTCCGTGTGTGTCCGTGTCCGTGTGTCCGTGTCCGTGTGTGTGTGTCCGTGTGTGTCCGTGTCCGTGTGTCCGTGTCCGTGTGTGTGTGTCCGTGTGTGTCCGTGTCCGTGTGTCCGTGTCCGTGTGTGTGTGTCCGTGTGTGTCCGTGTCCGTGTGTCCGTGTCCGTGTGTGTGTGTCCGTGTGTGTCCGTGTCCGTGTGTCCGTGTCCGTGTGTGTGTGTCCGTGTGTGTCCGTGTCCGTGTGTCCGTGTCCGTGTGTGTGTGTCCGTGTGTGTCCGTGTCCGTGTGTCCGTGTCCGTGTGTGTGTGTCCGTGTGTGTCCGTGTCCGTGTGTCCGTGTCCGTGTGTGTGTGTCCGTGTGTGTCCGTGTCCGTGTGTCCGTGTCCGTGTGTGTGTGTCCGTGTGTGTCCGTGTCCGTGTGTCCGTGTCCGTGTGTGTGTGTCCGTGTGTGTCCGTGTCCGTGTGTCCGTGTCCGTGTGTGTGTGTCCGTGTGTGTCCGTGTCCGTGTGTCCGTGTCCGTGTGTGTGTGTCCGTGTGTGTCCGTGTCCGTGTGTCCGTGTCCGTGTGTGTGTGTCCGTGTGTGTCCGTGTGTCCGTGTGTGTGTCCGTGTTTGTGTGTGTGTCCGTGTTTGTGTGTGTGTCCAACATTTGTCTTTTTCAAGCAGGTCAGATCTGACCCGCAGGCACTGATAAAGAGAAGCAGTGACACTATACAGCACTACTGAGCAACAAGTAGAGCTTGCATATATGCAAATATGGCTGTACTAAGGCATTACACAGCATATACAAAATATAAGCCAGGAAAAAAGGCTGATCTCCTATAATGCACCAGGAGCATTCCTGTTCTGTCATATGCAATCTGCACGAGGTATTGCATGGGGTGTGAATAAAAACAACATTTTGTGTTAGCGCCTAAAGTACATACCTCATTGATTTAAATATCATATACACTTGATTTTTAAACTGCCTAAAATAGGACAGCTTGGAAACTTCCAAACTCCCGACATACACAATGCAATTTATTGAAGCACAATGACTACACTGCAGGTTCACTGAAAGCAAAAACATGCAGTCACTGTGAAGATCCATTAGCTATGATTACTGCAACCTATACCAAGGTAAGAGCATTTACCTTCTCTAATGGCTGTACATGGGGCGCCTTCTTCATGTTCCAATCGAATTTCTTTCAATGCTACAAGGTTCTCCGTCAGTTTACTCCTTCCTTTAAATACTGTGGCATAAGTGCCCTACAGAAGAAAAAAAAAAATGTAGTTATCATACAAGGCAGCAAACATGTCAGAAAAAAATATCCACCAATAGTGGACTATGAACCAATCCAATGTGAGCAAAACATCAACAGGCAAATTAGAATGTGGGGACGGTAGGGAAATAGTAAATCCCTTTTCAGCTTTTCCTATGCCTAATATATGCAAAAGAGTATTAAAAGTAACACTATAAACTGAGAGGATACTTTTTCTATGAGAAAACACTGTTTTCCATGTTCCCTAATGGTGACTGGCATTATGCAGTTGCTGAAAAATGCCCTCTGGGTATGATCCCCCTCATTCCCAGCATTCAGCAGTTTTGTAGAAAAGCAGCACATAGGAGTAGAACATAAATCTCAAGGGGTGGACCTGTGTCCCCCTAATGAATTTCAAGAAACAGATTTTATGGTAAGTACATCAATTCTGCTTTATCATTCATTAAGTGGCACATGATTAGTAGTAATTCTGAGGCAACTGGGACATCCAAAAGTAGCCCGAGAGGTGGGCAACATAGCAAACCAAACATCAACAGACCCACAAAAAGACCAATAAACTGGGGGCTGCCCGCAACTCAAAGAGCTGCATGAAGGACCTTCAAGGAGAACTATGAGGTGAGTGAAATACACTCATCCTCATTAGAACCGACGTGTGACATTGAGACTGTCCCAAGTTGGCTCTATTGATCTGGAAGTGAGCAAATGCATACCGTCACTCTCTCACTTTCCAATCATCTCCCTGCAGAGAGCAATGACTGTCAGTCACCTATCCCCGCAGGGATTCCCCCTCCACTCTCCAGCGCCGACTGGAGAAATGGACAGGGAGGGAGCGGGCAGAGACAGCTGTCATTCAGCCAGCTGGGTGTATCTCGACAGTATTGTCGGGATCCGCCCTGTCTGCGGCCCTCTCAGTATATAGCTTGCTATATACTGAGCTTTGGGGCACCGGAGGACGTTCGTATATGTCCGCAAAAAAAGAAACAGGGATGGACCCACCTCATAGCATAGGTGGTCCAAAGGGTTAACCAAGGAGTGGGACAAACCGTATAAGGTATAGAAAACGATAATAAATGGATACAGCCAAAAGCTTACTGTAGATGTTAAAAACAAAAGGATACTTTGAAGCTGTTGGTCATTAATGTGACCATGAGTGGATTTAGGTTGATCTATGTTTTAAAGGAAAGCACAAGGTAATAATGACCATAACGAGCAGACTTCAACAATGTTAGATGAAACTCCTGGTCAAGCCAGGAGGGTTTTAACCATTGATTCGCTATTAATCACATCAGTGGCTGACTAGACAGTATATCACATGTATTGTCACTTTGTTGCATAGAGCTAAGCCCGTAATCAGCAATATACAGGATAATTGTGATTGCTGCCAATAGTCAGGGGTAAATAATGGACCATCTGTTGGTAATCATAAGTAGCGTTTATCGCTCAAAAAAGGAGCCCCCTTGGGACTATAAGTGTTCTTGTGTCATGGAGTGATTGACTCGCGGGGTAGGAAAAAATACCGGTTAGAGTGCCGTTGATGTATCAGTCGGGCCGTGATTAATTGTAGAGGTGAAACAATGACAAGTGAGTCTTCCCCTAGGTAGTAGACACCAGGGGGTATTTATCTTGGTAAAGTGGAAATAGAATGAAGGTAGTCCTACTCACATTTACAACTTCCCATGAGCGTATGGTTTGGGTTCACAGTAAGGTCCAGGATCTTCACTCCTACTGACGGTTTATTATGAAAGCTTGCATGTGGCTTTAAATAGCGATGAGACTCAAGTCGGTGGGTCCCAAGTTTAAATTGGTGCTGCTAGTTGGTCCAGGTGTGCTATAGATATAGAGGACTAAGGTAAAGTATCCACAGTGCTCCCAGTCATCCACCTGAGTAGATGTGCGCCGTCTACACGTTTCGCCCCTCCTCTCCGGGGCTTCATCAGCCCGTTCGTATATGTCCAACTGTGACCCTAAAGAGAGCTATGGGATAAAAAGGTTACCCCATGGTTCTCTTTTAAGCCTAAATGTGCCATCAGGCCTGAACATCCATCTGGAAAAACTTAGAGAACATGTGAACAGAAGGGCCAGTGGTATGCAGTTGCCTGATGCTAAAAAGCCCAGGAAGCAGTTGCAGACTTTGTAGAGTGAGCCTTGACAAGAAAAGGTGGAAAACCTTCTCCTTCAGACCATAAGTTTGTATGATGATTTGTCTGAGCCACCTACTTATGGTAAGACGAGGAACTGGTTCTGTTTATGGGGACCATCAGGAATGACAAATGTAATCTGCATTCCTAATGGGAACAGTGGAAAGACATACATTTTAACAGCACAAACCACATCTAGGCAATGAAGGGAAATTTTCTTCTGATGAACAGGAGCTGGACAAAGGGGATGGAAAAATCTCCTGATTAAAGTGAAAAGCTGAAACCACCTTAGGAAGAAAGGAGATCCTAGGCTAAGGCACTAACAGATCTAGGAGTAAGATTAGGAAGGGTTTTTTACAGGACAAGGCTGCCAGCTCAAAAACATGCCTTGCACATGTGATGGCGGCAAGAAACACATTGAGGGAATATCCCTGATAAGTTCAAAGGGTGGCCTTTGAAGAGCTGACGGAACCAGATACAAATCTCAGATTCACAGACGGTTGTACAGGAGGAGCCACATGAGAGGCACCCTGTACAAAGGTATTAACCAATGAATGTGTTAAGGGTCTTTGGAAAAAGATCACAAGTGTGGAGATTTGCCTCTTGATACGCAGGGCCAAATGCTGATCCTGACATAAAAAAGAAAGAAAAAAAAAAAAAAAAGTAAAGATTCTCTGCAAACAGTATTCGAGTTCTTCACTCAGTAGTATTAAATGAAGAGCACAAGGATATGAAACCTTGTGTACTCACAATAACCAATTTGCTTGGAAGCTTTAATGGCCAGAGGTGACCAGTACAACTTAGGCAGAAAGCAGCTTGCCACTTGTAGGAGAGTGAGGCCCACTTTACACTGGGCCAAAAGATGGATGGGAACAGAGTGAGGATGGGATTGAGTGATGCAGCAGAAAAAAAGCCGAAGCGCAGTGAACCCTTTCTGCAGTAAACAGAATAGAGAGCTTCCACAGTACATCACAGTGAGAACAGATAATTGAGAGACTAGGCACACTTGTGTGTCACTGCTTATAAGCAGAGCTAGTAAACAAAGGGTTCGTACCTTGCTGTCTTTGCTTCTTGCATAGTCTTACTCACAAGGAGTTATCAGAGACAGGACACACCAATGGTAACGCCACAGCTATGGACCTGGAAACCAACATGGGACAAAGTCCAAGATGATGCCACAAGCAGAGCCCAGTGCTCCAAGGTCACATTTCAGGTAGCTCCACATCTTAGGTTTGGTGGGGTATGGGTAAGGCCTTCAAGGCTATACAGAGGATAAACTGGTTTGGATAGCTGCACAGAGTACTTGCTCAGAGAAAAATAGATGATCTTCATTGAAACAAAAATCCAGCAAAAATAAGATAGCTTGAACAATGAGTAAACGTTTCTTGCTAGGAAAAAAAAAAAATGTATGCTCCTAGGACAATAGCAAAAAACTGAAGCATGCTGGGAGTGGCGGGGGGAGTAGTTAGATTTGGCTGGCCAACTTTTTTTTTTCCGTTTGCAGTGTCCAACTCTTCCTAAAGTATAACCCAATTGTGTCAGAAATTCTACTGATCCTGTGTCCCTTAATGAAAGATAAGAATGTTTTTTTCATCTAGGTGACATGCATGTCTAAGAAAAACATGATACAAGTATACTTTCCCTAAGAGAAGGCCTGGCTGAGGAGACAAAATATGGTGAAGAGGAGATCAGAACAAACAATTACAACAATACAAGTCCCAGCAACATGGTTCTAGACTCACAACCTGTATCTGTTGTGCTTACTTTATCTTGCCTAGCAACATTATTACACAATATGTAAAGTGGCCAATTTAAATTATTAGCCTGAACTTTACAAGCTCAGACCTGCTTTGTTTACTAATCGATTTCCACGGTCAGTTATGACTCTCCAAGTGAGGGATGCAAATTTTAATTGAATGTGGTAGAAAAAAGAATCACATTGATCTAACAAAATATAAGCCACAAACCTCTCCAAGCTTCTCCAGTTTGACGTAGGTTTCCATCTTCCCAAAACCAATTTCAGACTGAATAAGGAAACAAAGAAACAGATTTAAAAAAACACGTTAGCGCAGTGAAGTTAATATGCTGGGTTTACTTATTTTCTTATTTTTAATAAAACTTTTGTCTTCCATGGTCTTAAAAGTGAATTTCCATGGTTTTATTTCATCTACTACATACTGCCTGTTACCTCCAGTCAACTGCAGTCTCTTATCCCTTATGAATTTACAAACACTGCACGCATTACCAGTTTTTGGAGTTTGCTTATTGGTTACAATTGGATTGCAGCACCCGACAGCAAATGTAATGCAGTTAAAGTACCGTATATACTCGAGTATAATCCGTCCTGAATATAAGCCGAGGTACCTAATTTTACCACAAAAAACTGGGAAAAAGTATTGACTCGAATATATGGGAAATAATGGGAAATAATGGGAAATAATGGGAAATGAGGCAGCTACTGGTAAATGTACAAAATGAAGATAGATACCAATAAAATTACATGAATATTTATTCAAAAGAAAAACAATAACCTAGCTCTGTAAGTGGTGTACAGGGCTACATATCATGTACTACGGCTCATTTAACCCATTCATATTAGCAGAGGATAATTGTAAATCTATTGTTCAGTGCATTCTATATGTAGTATATAGTACATGTACATATAGAGTGCCTGCAACAATACATTTACAATGATCCTCTGCTAACATGAATGGGTTAAATGATCCATAGTACAGGGCTACATACAGATCATTTAAT